TGCGGCCCTCCGGGATAACGCCGACTGGCCGTTCCAGCACCCGCCGGTCTGGGGGGGGGGAGGTGCAGACACCTTAACTCTGGGAGGTGCCCAGCGAGAGGGGTTCTTGCTCTCTGCCTGCGGGCCAGGCCGCCGCGAGGGAGGGCGGAGAATGACCCGAGCAGCTTCCCTGGTTGGACAGCCGCTGCCGCTGGCCGCTAACCCGCCCTGCTGTGCGCAGGCATCAACCACGGCCCCGTCATCGCCGGCGTCATCGGCGCGCAGAAGCCGCAGTACGACATCTGGGGGAACACGGTGAACGTGGCCAGTCGCATGGACAGCACCGGCGTCCTGGACAAGATCCAGGTGACCCAGCCGCCCGTGGGGGGACCCGCTGCCCGGGGGGGGGCGGACCTTGGCGCTCGCTTGGGCCCGTGTTGGGGGACGGCCGTTCACTTCTGGGTCACGGGGAGCCCCGGTGCGGCGGGTGGGGCCTGAGCGTGCCGTTGGGGTGCAGGCCCCTCCCCCTCTGCCCCCCGCCCCCACACCCACCGGGAAAGGGCGCTGGGGGAGAGGGAAGGCAAGCCCAGACGCTGCCCGCCCCCTCCCCTGCAGGGGGAGAGGTGAGAAGTGAGTGAGGTGCTGGCCCGGCTGGGCTGCCCTGGCCGAGCTTTGGGGTGGGGGAACCCAGAAATGACCGCAGGGCTCTGGGGTCCCCTCGAGAGAGAAAGCCAGGCCCTGACCAGGGATGAGAGCGCAGCCTCCCGGAGGAGGGCGTGACCCCAGCGGCCCTCCGGGGCGTCCGCTCTGCAGGCGGCTTTCTGGGGTGTCGGCTCGGTCTGTCTGAGCCTCTCCTCGTGGCCCCGGGCCCCCGCGAGGGAGTCCTGGGGACTCACTGGGGCCTTAGTTCCCCGAGCTTCGTCCCCTCCAGCGCCAGCCATGTTGCTGCGCGGCAAGATTCTGCCTTTCTTCAAACCTGTTGTAGTACATCCCAGTGACGAAGGGACAGGACAGGTGTGAGCCTCCCACCCCCAGTATTCCCAGGGCCCCCCTTCCCGTGTCTCTGACGCAGGCACGTCACTGCTCACGGTCGAATCGTGGGGGGCCCCGGCCTCCTTGGCGTCCAGGGTGAAGTGGGTGGACGTGATTCCGTTGTCCGACCCGTGACCTTGACCTCGAGCACGTGGTCGCTGCCGTCCCCCTGCGACCGACGGGGCCATGGTGCCCCGGAGTGTAGTGTCCTTGCAGGGCCCCCGCCACCCTCGG